TATGATATATTTTTTTGGTTTTTACATCCTTTTATTTTTCTTATTCACGTAAGTTTAATTTTTATAAATAATGTTATTTATAATAAATAGAAATGCTTCATATTTCTTTTACATTTAGCTTTTTACATATTTATCCTTATGTTTCATTTCTGTTATTATGGTAGTATATGATGAATTTCATCGTTTCTTCTATATTAAGGAATAACCATTCCATGAAATGGTGGGAAATTCATCTTAAGATTGCAAGAAATATTTGACATTAAATGTTTTCTATTTGCTTCTCAAAAATGGTATTCAGTTTTGCTCGTATATTAAGTATTCCTAATATTTCTAGATATAAATACATGCTACTGAATAAGCGAAGAGTATATTTATAATTATAAGTGTGATTGCGTGTTAGGCAACATACTTTTATTTCCACTGATAATTAATTTTGTATTAAATGTTCCATAAATATTCAATATAAATCTAGTTATATCATAAACTACATTAACTATAATTTGATTAAATAAATAATAATCGAATTAATTATTTTTATTATTTATTTATTTATTAATTAATACGTTTACAAAAAAACTAATATTTAAGGTAATAAAGAATATAAAAAATATGAACACAAGAATTAACAATAATAACGCTGTCATTCTGCCTAATCTTAAATATATAAAGAAAAAGAAAAAAAAACAAGAACGACTTAAGTTTTGAAATAATATCGTTTTAATGACTTGTAAATTATGAGCATGCAGTTAAATCATTTAAATATTTGACTTTTTTTTACACTTTTATTGTAACTAAGCTTCTTAATGTTATTAAGAACCCATGTCATTTTTTTTAAGTAAAAAGTATTACATAACAAAACTGCATTTCACAGTATTTTTACAGGACCCTTTTTAAAAAAATTATTTATATTTACAGGAGTTTATTGTAAGTACTAGGAGCATATGCAAGCATACTTAAGTGTGCAAACATATATTCTATTGGAACTAAACCATAAATAAAATAAATTAATAGTATAATTAAACAGTGACAATGTTTTACAAGAGATATTATTTAATAAAATGAAATAGGCATATTATTCTAAAAAATATTATTTTTTTATATAAAAAAGTTAAAAAAAACAAAATATAAAATAAACGTTATAACACTACTCTAGTATTTATGAAAAAAATGAATTGCGTGTTTTATTACGAATTACTAATATAAGTTAGTGATTCTCTAATAAATTAAAATATTACGAATGATTTGTTTCACAAGGTTATTTTCTATGGATACTATAAAAATTTTTCATTTTTTTATTTGAATCCAATTAAAATTTCAAGCTTCAATTTTGTGGTAATAGTACAGGGCTAGTTTGACCAAAAAAAAAAAAAAAAAAAAATTGAAGAGGGGTTAAAACTAATATTTAATTCTATAGTATTTAAAATTATTATAAAAATATATGTAATTAACTAAATATATGTTATTATTCATTAATATGATCATAGAGACGATCTAAAAAAAATTATATTATAACGTATCTTTAAAATACTTTAAATTATGATCTCGCTTTTAGATGAAAACACAAGGATATATTTGTGTTTTTATAATAAACATTTCCAAATATATAGGTAATTTAATATTTTATAAACTTTTTTTATGTCAGATATTATTTCTGTAGAGAAAGCATATTAATACATGTATTATTAACTTTTTCTGCTTAAAAGAATGAAAAATTATTAGATACACTGGATACAAAAAATGTGATGAATTGGAGAATATGCAAATTTTGAATGGTAGAATTAATGTCTGCAATAACCTAGAAAATAGTGATGCATGGGACAAATCATTTTGTAATAAAGTAATAAAATTTTTAAAAGAATTATATGATGGACCAGATGAACAACGTAAAGCTGATTGTTATTACTTTACACATTAATTCCATGATAAGGGAAAAATATTATAAGTTGACTCATATAAATAACAAATACGTTTATGGAAAAACTTTTGACTTTGTCTCTGATTATGTTTGAACATATTCAAAATTAGGACTGTGACGTTTCCATTACTGTGAAACTCATAAAGGATGGATTGAGGAAGAAGTTTTGCACTATTTTAGATATTTTAATTATATTAATTGCAACAGTTCTAATAAATCTAAACACCAAAACTATTTGTACAATGTTAATTATATTAATGAAACATATATATGAAATATTACGATAACTGCTGTGAATGTGATTCTATTGAACCCGTATGTGAATCATATTTTAGTTGTAACGAGTTATATAATACAAATAATCATTTGCCCACTCTAATATCTGAAGTAGAGAAATTAAGTAGGGAAGAGGGAAAAGTGGATAACCCTGTTCGAATTAAAAAACCTGAGGACTATTCAATTTTCGATCACAATGCTAAAACTGTGTTTAAGTATAATGAAGTTGCACATAAAGATTCAGTTATAGTAACTAATTCTTCTAACGAATCTATTGATGCTTCTTCCATTATCATAATAGTAACGTATAATATATTAAATTCATATTATTATAATCATTTTATAATGGTCATTTCAATATTGGGAAAAAATTTATTCTTATAATATTACTATGGTATAAATACAAATTATTTTTTATCATTAATTTCCTAGTTATTACAGTGTTATATTTACAAAATAAGCACACTATATACATTTATGTATACATAACATCTTTGAAACATTAGAAATTTATTAGACACTTCTTTATTTTTTCTAAATTATTAAATTTCAATTTTTTTGTTCTTGGTATTTGTTATATATTATATGTATTCAGATGGATAAAAAAAAAAGACTAAGTTGAAAATATTTATCTTTTAGAGAATTATAATTTCGTTATGTTGCCAATTTTAATATTTAACTTGCAACTACTGGCATAGGGAAACTATAGCTAATAA